CTTTGGGGTAGAGAGCAGAGAGATGGCTCAGCAGTAAAGAGCACATACTACTCTTGCAGAGGACCTGGGTTTGGTTCCCAGCACCCCACATCAGGGAGCTCACAACTGCCAGTAATTCCAGTTCCAGGGGATCTGATGCCCTCTTCTGGCCTCTATGGGCATCTTGCATGCATGTGGACATACTAACACATAGATACAAAAATAAAAGATAGTGCTGAAAAGCTGGCTCAGTGGTTAAGAGCACTGGCTAGTCTTGCAGAGGACCTGGGTTCACTTCCTTCATCCACATGGCAGCTAACAACCATCTGTAACTCCAGTTCCAGGGGATCTGATGCCCTCTTCTGGCCTCTGCAGGCACCTGCCCTTGTGGTACACACACAGACACACACATAAATAAAATTTAAAAAAAGAGCTTTGGGCTGGGCATGCTGGTACATGTTTTTAATCCCAGCACCAGGGAGGCAGAGGTAGGTAAATGTCTGTGATTTTGAGGCTAGCCTGGTCTACACTGCGAGTTCCAGGCCAGCTGGGGCTACAGGGAGACCCTGTCTCAAAAAGACCAAAAAAATAAAAATAAAAATATCTTTGGAGTAGCAGGAGGTGTTGTCCTGTGAGCAGAGCCTTGCCCCACCTCCTGTCTCCCTGCCACACATGCCTGACTAATCCACTCAAGTCTCTACTCTGTGGATCCCCACAGCTCCTCTGTCTCCATTCTGAGGCTGCACTATCCCCCTACCCCAAGCTCTGACCTTATACAACATTCGTAATACCCTGCCTTATCTAGCACCAAGTCATCTGATTCTCTCACATCTTCTAGAACCTGTACTCCCTCATTTCTAAGAGCCAAGTTCATGCCACACACCTCCAGCCCTACAGTTTTAGGCAGGCTGAGGCAGGGCTCCAGCTGCTGGCTGGGTGTGACCCCAGATGTCCTCCCTGGGGCTCCTGTTGACTCCTGAATCCCTCAGGCCTCACTGTGGTAGCCCCAGAGCCACCCTTGGTAAGTCACCTGCACCAGCCAATCTAGACATGTACTTTCCCCACTGTTCCCACCTGCCTCAGCCTGCCACCAGCTGGGTTCACTTGGGTTTCCTGTGCACCCTTACCCCTACCACTGGTGCTCTGCCTCCATGCCCCCAACACCCATTTCCTCTTGACTACTCTTTGAAAGGTTTAATTTATTTAGAAACAGCATCTCACTGTGTAGCTCAGGCTGGCCTCAAACTCACTGTGTGCCTGGGTATCTGACTTGTCTGGCCTACACACAGTTCTTCCTAGAAGGCACAGAACTGCTGGGCCCCCTGCTCCTGGCCCCAAATGAACATGTTTCTTCCTCCCTCTTGTTTTTCTGTCTTTCTGAAACATGGCCTCCTTGTAGCCCCAGCTGTCACTTTGTAGACCAGGCTGGCCTTGAACTTACAGAGATCTGCCTGCCTCTGCTTCCGTGGTGCTGAGATTAAAGGCATGCGTTAGCATGCCTAGCCCCTTGTTCCCTCTTAACTCTCACCTCACTCACTGCCTGGATTATCACCAGGACCCACCCTGGGAGAGCCTCTTACCCCTCCAGACCCACTGCAAAGCCTTGCCCATGTTCCTGGTGGCAGAGCGGCCCTTGCCACTACCTTTGCTGCCTACTGGCTCGATGAGACAAGGCAGAGGGCTGACTGTGCTCTCCACTATATGGGGCCCCAGAAACAGGTGGGTGGGAGACCCAAGTTTGGTTCCCAGCACCCAAGTCAGGTGGCTCACAATTGCCTGTAACTCCAGCTCCAGGGATATGTCACCTCTGGCTTCTGTGAACACCCGTACTCATATGCACATACTGCATCTTCCTACCCCATTCCTCTGCAATTAAAGCAATAAAAATAAATATTTTTTTAAAAGCCCCCAAAGAATAGAAATGTTTTCTATCCCTGTTGTCCATATGGCAATCACCAGCTACGCATGGCTTCTGAGCACCAAAGGATGACTAGGGAGGCTAAAGAACCAATCTTTAATTTTACTCACTTTAATTAGCTTAAAGGGCCCAAAGGCCACCATGGCTCAGCAGTAGAGTGCTTGCCTAGCATGCACAAGGTCCAGGCTTCAATACTTATCACCACAAACAAAACAAAACAACTCAAGGAGGGATGAGATGTACCTCTCCCTTGAGAGTGCTTGCCTAATACATCGGAGCACTGAATAAACTAGGTGTGCTGAGACTCGTCAGTAATCCCAGTGCTCAGGAGATAAAGCAGGAGGGTTAGAAGTTCATGGTCATCCTGGGATTCATAGGCAATTTGAGAGCAGCTGGAGCTGGATAAGCTTTCTCAAAAAGAAAGGGCTGACAAGATGGCTTAGCATTTAAAAGTACTGGCTGCTTGTACAAACTTTTTTAACAAAATATTTTATTATTTTTATTTTATGTGTATGAGTACATTACCTGCACATATGTGAGTGCACCCGTGCCGTGCAATGCTGCGGAGGTCAGAAGAGGAACTGGATTCCCCGGGAACTGGAGTTAAGGACAGTTTGTAGCTGCCATGTAGGTGCTGGGAATCAAACCTGGGTCCTCTGCAAGAGCAGTTAATGTTCTTTAACTGCTGAGCCATCTCTCTAGCCCCATATATTTGTCTTTTTGAGACAGGGTCTCCCTATAGGCCAGCTGGCCTGAAACTTGCTATGTAAACCAGGTTGGCCTTGAACTCATAGAGATCATGCCTACCTAGGTGTGTGCTACCACACCCTGCTAGGTATGTATTTTTTAAAACATGGCTCAGCAGGTAAAGGCACTTGCCACCAAGCCTGGTGATCTGAGCTCAATCCCAAGGACCTACATGGTAGAAGGAGAGAAGTGACTCCTGCAAGTTGTCCTCTGACCTCCAGAGGCACACAGCAACACAGGCAAGCCCCCATATACATACACAAATAATTAAGTAAATAAATGTAGTTTAAAAACAAACAATACCCAGTTGGGTGTGGTGGTGTACACCTTTAATTCCAGCACTTGAGAGGCAGAGGCAAGTGGATCTCTGTGAGTTCAAAGCCAGCCTAGTCTACATAGTTAAGTCCCAGGCCAGCTGGGGCTACAGGGAGACTCTGTCTCAAAAACACAAAAACAAAAACAAAACACCACCCAAAGCAGAAAGAGGGAGAGAGAAAGATACGCCACAGAAGAGTAGGGGCCAGCCTCTGCCCACAGGTACCTGACTCACCCACTCTGCTGAGCTAGCTCTGTGCTGGCAGGTTGCTGGCCTCTCTTTAGAGACACCCACAGGTGCTCAGGCCCCTCCCTGAATGGCTCCTATCAACAGAGGCCACTGTGAGTCCCGAACCATCTCACATTATGGCACAGACAGGTATATCATGATGCCCATTTAAAAGAGGAGAAAACTGAGTGCTGGGGTGGCCTGAGGCCTCAAGGTCACCAAGCTCACAACACTGCTACCTAGGTCTGCTGACTCTCTAGACAGGGGCCTTTGCCACTCCCTCGCTCACCCCAAGTGGCAAAAAAAAAAGGACAGAGAGGGGCATGTTTCGGCCAAGCTTGTGTCAAGTGCAGGCCCTTCTGTTTTTTCTTGGAGACAGGATATTCCTGTGGTCTAAGCTAGTCTTGAATGATCTTGAGCTTTTAAAAAAATTACATCTATAGCCAGGCTTGATGGTGCAAGCCTTTTAATCCCAGCACTCAGGAGACAGAGGCAGGCAGCTCTCTATGAGATAGCAGTGTACCTGGTCTGCATAGTGAGCTCCAGGACAGCTGGGGCTATAGGAAGGCCCTGTCTCAAAAAAATTTAAAAAAAAAAAATCATTTATGCCGGGCATGGGGGTGCATGCCTTTTATCCCAGCACTTGAGAGGCAGAGGCAGGTGGATCTTGAGTTCAAGGCCAGCCTGGTCTACATAGTGAGTTCCAGGACAGCTGGGGCTACAGGGAGACCCTGTCTCAAAAAGATCAAAAAAAAAAAAAAATCATTTGTGTGTGCATATGTGTGTATCTGTCTACATGGGTGCGTGTGTATCACACTGCACATGGGAGGTCAGAGGACAATCTGAGGAGTCAGTTTCCGTCTACCATGTAGGTCCTGAGAATTGAACTCAGGTGCCCAGGCTTGGTAGCAATCACCTTTATGCACCTTTACTCACTGGCCCTGATCTTGAACTGATCTCCAGTCTCTACCTCCCAAATGCTGAGATTACAGGTATGCATCACCATGCCTGTTTTATACGGTACTCATGTAGACTAGATGAGCACTCTACTCACTGAGCCCCATTCCCAGCCTGAGAACAGACACTTCTATAGAACTCCACATCATGCCTGACAGCTGAGCAGACTAGGGTGGAGGGACTGGTGGGACTTCTACAAGGGCGCTGTGCTGGCTACTGCTGTCTGCATTGCCCTCTTCCTGATTATGGATGAGATGTGAGCAGCTCCCTCCCAAGTGCCTGCCCTGTGACTCCCTGGCCATAATGGCCTGGAACCTGGAAATGCGTGCCCAAACAAACCATTTCTCCTTTAAGCTGTTTCTATCAGGGTATTTAAAAAAAAATTTTTTTTTAAATTCTTTTATTTATTTAAAAGGCATCCTTGAAGCCCCAGATGGCCTGGAACTCATTATGTAGACCAGGCTGGCATATATCTCAGAAATCACCTGCCTCTGCCTCCTGAGTGCTGGGACTAAAGACGTGCACCAACATGCCCTGCAGGGGGTATTTAAAGGATGTTTTAAATTTCAGTTTGAAGAATGCATTTACTTATGGGGGGGGGCGGGTACATGCTATAACTAGAATGTGGAGGTCAGAGGACAACTTGCAGAAGTCAGTTCTCTCCTTCTACCACGTGATCCCATGGATGGAACTCAGATCTTCAGTCCTGTCAGCAAGTACCTATACCAGTTATCTTGAAAGCCTTTATCAAGAAACTGTGTCACAAGAACAGGAAAAGAATACCACAGACCCTCTGGCCCAGCTGGGAGCTGGGAGAGGATGCCTACCAAGGCCCAACCCTGCCTTCTCACTCACCATTGATCAGCTCCAGGGCCTCCTCCTTGCTCCTGGTGATCTTCTCCTGCCGCCAGGATGAGGGCCGCCTGGACTGGCTGTGCTTCACCAGCAGGTGTGAGCAACGCACCCTGGCAGGCTCCCCTTGCCCATTCTTGCTGTTGCTGCCGGCACTGCCACTGGGCCGCTCCCACTGGCTGGCATTGGTGATATGATTGAAGTAGTACACGCGGCCTGGAGGGGACAGAGGGGGTGCTCAGCTGGGGATGGACTGCAGGACACCCCTGGAAAACCTGGAGAAGGAGCTGGCTTGCTTAAGAGAGCCAGTTTCTGCCTGGAGATTGGGCCCAGCATGTGGGGTAGTGTGTGTCACATGACAACATGAGTTCTAGACTGAGTCAGACAGGCACTAAAGCAGCAAGTAAGATAAGCCAGGGCTGGAGAGATGGCTCAGTAGTTGAGGGCTTGCTGCTCAACTGTGAGGACTGAAGTTTGGATCCCAGTACCCATGTTAGGAGGTTCAAAAACACCTATAACTCCAGCTCCAAGGGATCAGACACCCTATTCCGGCCTCCTAAGCCCCCACCACACACTTGCATAGCCACTCAAATCAGTCACACAGATACAAGCAAACATAAATAAACCCCCCTTAGAAAGGAGGGCAAGATCAGAGAGCTGGCTCAGCAGTTAAGAGCACTGACTGCTGCTGCAGAGGATCCAGGTTGGATTCCTAGCACCCACATAGTAGTTAACAATAGCATGTAACTCCAGTTCCAGGGAATCTGACACACTCTTTTGACCTCCATGGGCACTGCATGACACAGATGCACTTACATGCATGCAGGCAACATATTTACTCATACACATAAAAAAATAAATATCTTTTTATAAAGGAGGCTGGAGCGGGATGTGGTGGCACACGACTTTAATCCCGGCACTCAGGGGGCAAGCCCAGGGATCTTTGTGGTTCAAGCCAGCCTGGTCTACACGGGGAGTTCCAAGCCAGCTGGGGCTACAAGGAGACCCTGCTCAAAAAGACCAAAAAAACCCCCAGGCTGAACAGTTAAGAGCACTCACTGCTCTTGCTGAAGACCCATATTCAGTTCCCAGCACCCATATGGTGGCTAACAATTGTAGCTCCAGTTCCAGGGGATCCAATGCCCTCTTCTGGCCCCTATAGAATTGCACATATGTGGTGTACTTACATACATATGTGCAAAACACTCATGCACATCAAATAAAAATAAATCCAAAAAATTTAAAAAGAGAAAAGGATGTACTGGAGAGCTGGCTCAGCAGTTAAGAGCATATACTGTTCTTGCAAAGGACCCGAGTTTGGTTCCCAGCACCTGTATCAAATGGTTCACAACCTTCTGTGACTCCAGCTCCTCTGGCCTTTCAAGGGCACCAGCATGTGCGCGTGCGCGCGCACACACACACACACACACACACACACACACTTAAAAGAATTAAGAAAGATAAAAAACAAGATGGCTGGACATGGTGGCACATGGCTTTAATCCTAGCACTCAGGAGGCGGAGGCAGAGGCAGACAGATCTTTTCGAGTTCTAGGTTAGCCTGGTGTACAAAGCAAGTTCCAGGCCAGTCAGGCTACATGGTGAGACCCTGTGTCGAACAAAAAAACAAAAACCAAAAAACAAGCTGGCTTCACTCACTGACAATCTCAGATTGACACAAGCAAAGAAACTAGGAACCAGGAACAGGAAGTAGTTTGTGGCTCAAGCTTAGCAGCTAAGCTGCCTTTTCAAACTGGGCCAAATCACCTATTCTGTGAGCTTCCTTCCCTGGGCCTCTCAGTTTCCCCACTGTAAAATGGAGGTCACAGCATGTGCCTGCAGAGTTGCTGTAAGAGCTAAATCCCTGTGTCTGTAAAGTGCTTAGTATAGTGCCTGGCACACACACAGACCATGTATGGACTCAGGTGGCTGTGGCAGGAGGATTATGAGTTCAAGCCTAGCCTGGAATACAGAGTGAGACCTGGATAAAACAAAACAAAACAACAAAGTCCAGGCATAGTGGTGCCTAACTTTAATCCCAGCACTCAGGAGGCAAAAACAGGCAAGTGGATGTCTATGAGATCCAGGCCAGCCTGATCTACATAGTGAGTTCCAGGCCACCTGGGACTTCAGGGAGACCCTGTCTCAAAACACAAAACAAAAATCACACACACACAAAAGAGCCCTGGAGATGGCTCAGCATGTAAAGGTACCTGCTGCAAATCTGTCACCCTAAATCCAATCCCAAAAACCAAACAGCAGAAGCGGAGGGCCAACTCCTTCAAGCCATCCTCTGACTACACAAGCACACAAGTGCACACAGACACACAAACAAAATGTAATTAAAAATTAAAAGCAAACAAAAAAGAGACCAGAGAGGCAGCTCAACTAGGACGGTGTTTGTTTAGCATGCATAAAGTCCTGTGTTCTACGGCAAGTACTGGGTGTAACCCCATAGCCTATAATCCCAGCACTACAGAGGTGGAGGCAGGAAGATCAGGAGTTCAAGAGCATCTTCAGTTATAGAGTAAGTTTGAGACCAGTCTTGGTTATATGAGATCCTATCTCAAAAATAAACAAACAGGTGCTGGAGAGCTGGCTCAGCAGTTAAAAGCACTGGCTGCTCTTACAGAGGATCCTGGTTTAGTTCTCAGCACCTACATAATGGCTAACAACCATCTGTAATTCCAGTTCCAGAGGATCTGACGCCCTCTTCTGGTCTCCACCAGCACTGCAAACACATGGTACACTTACATACATGTAGGAAAAAGCACTAAAAAAAAAATAAATTAAAAAAATTTAAAAATAATCATGAAGCTGGGTGTGGTGATGTACACATTTAATCTCAGAACTTCAGAAGCAGAAAGATCTCTGTGTGTTTGAGGCCAGCCTTGTCTACACAGTGAGTTCCAAGTCAGTCACGGATACATGGTGAGACCCTGTCTCAAATAATGGCAACAATAGCAATAATAATTGGGGGGCAGCAGAGTAACCCAGGCCCTATCCCTGAGAGGACGATAATTATAACTATAGTGATGAGACTGGGATTCCTATGCGCTCTGGAAGCAGCAGAGTGACCTAAGTCCTACCCCCGAGATACCCGGCTTGCTCCTCAGGGCGTTGCCAGTGCCACTGGGAAGGGGAACTCTGGAGACATGAATTCACTGCACTGTAGCGCATCCCCACAGTCCCTGAAATGCACCATCTTGGACGAGTTGCTAACACTGTCGTGGCCTCAGTTTCCTCCATCACAAAATGGGAGTGATCATGATCTACCTTCCTGACTTGTGACCACTGGAAGAAGAAACTTGAATATTTCAAAGCTCCGCACCACGCTTGGCCCAGGAATGAACAGGCAGGGATAGCGGCATCACTCTGGTGGGGTTCCCTGATGGGGATGAGCGTGCAAGTGATGCTGATGCTGCACTAGGACCCGGGTGCTGTGAGATGTAGCGGGTTGCAGCCCCGTCGCCTCAGGCGTTCAGCCTGGTGCCCACCTGCCTCCAGCCTCAGCTTCCTCAGATCCCGGTACTCAAGGCCTCGAGGATGCCTCGGAAGTTCTCCGGGCCTGCTCCCGCGAGCTCCAAGCCCATTTCAGTAAGCCCGCGAGGCCCCGCCCCAGCCGACCGCCCCAGCCGACCCCCCCAGCCGCACCTGAGCTGCGGCTCATGCGCTTCTCCCAGCCGGGCGGCAGCTTCTCTTCATCCGCCATCTTCCCTCCTACCGCAGCGCTCGCTTCACCTCAAGCCTCACAGCCCCAGCCCGGCGGCTGCCCAATGCCATTGCTGATTGGCTCGGCTGCTCCCGCCGTCCATTGGACGTCCCAACTGGCTCTTCTGGTACTCTAGCTTTCTATTGGACAGAATCGAGGATGGGCGGATCTACCTACGGTTCATTTGGGTCCCGCCCCCTCACTCTTTGCGGCTCCTGAGTGGAGAAAGGACAGGCGCCTCCCCAATGCCACTGATGATTGGCTAGTCTGATGGAGACACCCATTGGCTGCCGCAACCATCCTCATCCTGGCTTTCTATTGGACAGAAGCGAAGATGGGCGTATCCATCCACCCTCTGGCCCCGCCTCCATGCTACTGCGTTGAACCACACGTCAGCCCGTCGCCACTGTTGATTGGTTAGTTTGATGGTAACGCCCACTGAATGCCCCAATCGGCTTCTCGGGCTCTCTGACTTTTATTGGACAGGGTTGGACGGGCGGGTCTACTCGGCGTTAACATGGGCTCCGTCTCCTCCGCCAGTGGCTCCGAAGTGGAGGAGGAAAGTTCCCGCAGCCTCTTTAACACCCTTTAGAGAGTTTCAAAAAAGGCTCAACACCAGCCAGCCCCTTCCCGCACGTTCAGCGAGCCGGGTAGAGCTTGCTGATTGGCTACTGCTGCAGCCAACCCTGCCTTCTCTAGTCTTTGTGGAGGCGGATCAGTCCCCATGCGGAAGGGCCTTGCTGGTGTGGGGGTAACAGCTGCCTACTTGCAGTTGCCATAGCAATGCAGTTGCCTTGGTGATGCGTAGCTAAGTGCCTAAAGCTAAAAATTGGCTCCTCCTTTCTCTTCCCACCTGTTTGCACCTATGTTCAAAGTGAAGGCGGTCATATTAGGTTTTTTTTGGGGGGGAGGGGGGAACCTACTTCAACTTAATTCCTTCTTAGTCTGGCTTCTTCCTCGGCTGAGTGGGGTGGGCGCTGGGTGATGTCTTTGCCACTTGGAAGAGGAAATGGAGGCGCGGGTGGGCGGAGGAGACCGGTTTACATCACCTGAAAGTCTGAGGAACTGGTGGAACAGTTGAGGTTTTTGGTCACCCAAGCTGCAAAAGAAAATTTTAACTTATTACGCTCATGGGAGGGGCGGTGTGTGCCACGGTGCGTGTATGAAGGTCAGAGGCTAACATGCAGAAATCCGTTCCCTCCTTCCATCATGGGAGTCCGGGGGATTGATCTCAGGTTGTCAGGCTTGGCAGAAGGGGTCTTTACCTGCTGAATCATCTTACTGACTCCTGAGATATTTAATGAGATTTAAAGACACCAATAGGGTAGTTCAAAGATAGTTCATCGATAGTGAGGATCCTTGTGTGGCTTTAAAAGAACGAGGCTCAGTGATAGGAACTCATAAAATGTGACTAGAAGCTGAATGTGGTGGTAAAGCACACCCTGGAGCCAGACTGCTTGGGTTCAAAGCCTGGCTCTACCACTTGCTATGAGTAAATAGTTTAAACTCAATGATTCAGCCTCTAATTGCCAAGCAGAGATAAGTGATCATGACTATTTTGACATGAAGATCAAATGACTTCTTCCTATAAAGGCCTCAGAACAGGGCCTGGGATAGATGTCAGCTGCAAAAACTTTGCTGGGTAGAAAAAAATGGTCAGAGTACAAGGTAGCAGTATGAAAGCCCTGGCCACAAGCTGGGTCAGCAGGTAAAGTGTTGCCAAGTCTGATGACCTGAGTTTCATCCCTGGGATCCACATGGTGGAAGGAGTGAACCACCTCCACCTGGGAGTTGTGATCTCTCCACAAGCACGATGCACACACCAAGCACCATAAGCACACAGTCACACACATACACACACAATAAAATAAAATGTAGGCTGGGCATGGTGGTGCATGCCTTTAGCCCAACACTCAGGAGGCAGAGACAGATCTCTGAGATCAAGGCCAGCCTGATCTATATAGTGAGTTCCAAGCCAGCTGTGGCTACAGGGAGACCCTGTCTCCAAAAACAAACAAAAACATTTGAGGATTGGGGAGATGGCTCAGTTGGCAAAGTGCTTACCATATAGCTTGAGAGCCCGAGTTCAGATTCTCCAGAGCCCGAATTCAGATTCTCCAGTGCCTGGTTTGCTGTCTATTGCTGTGATAAAAACTTTGGAAGGAAAGGGTTTTTTTTTTTTACCTTACATCTTCCAGGTCACAGTTCATCATCACTGAGGGAACTCAGGGCAGGAACCTGGAGGCAGGAGTTGAAGTAGGTATCACGGAGGAACGCTGCTTACTGGCTTGCTCCTCTAGCCTGTGCTCAGCCTGCTTTCTTATACACCTATCTGTCCAGGGTGGCACTGTTTGCAGTGGGCTGGGCCCTTCAACATCACTCAATAATTAAGAAAATGACTCACAGACATGGCCACAGCCATGTCTTTCCCACTGTGATGGGCTGTACACCTTCAAACTATGAGACAGGTTAAACCCTTAAGTTGCTTTTGACAACTTACGAGAGTCGGTTCTCTCCTACCTTGTGGGTTCTGGGGATTTAACTGAGGTTGTCAGACTTGGCAGCAAGCTCTCTTATCTACTGAGCCATCTAGCTGGCCTTTTATCTGGGATTTTTCACAAGCATGTATTAGCATAGCCCTCTTTATCTTTTTTTTTTTTTTTTTTTTTTTTTTTTTTTTTTGGTCCTGAGATCAATCCCAGAGCCTTGTACATACTAAGCATGTGTTGTACCATCAACCTGCACCCACTCCTTGATGCAATCATCTTTTTTCTGTGTGTGAGAGCACACACGTGCCATAGTGTGCATTTGGAGGTCGGAGGACAACATCAGGTACCTTTTTACCTTGAGACACTGTCTCTTTGTTGTTTGCCTGACTCCAGCCTACTTGGCTAGGGAGTTTCGCCTCCCATATCTCTGTAAGAGCACTGCAATTAGATGTTTCTTACTGTTTCTGGCTCTGTGTGTGTGTGTGTGTGTGTGTGTGTATACACATGTGAGCATAAATGCCTAGAAATTATAAGCCTCCTTCACCAATGTAGTAACCCTCATTGTCCTTTAAGGAAAAAAGCACATAGCTAAGAGTTAACAGACTTCTGAACTCTGTGGATGTAGAGGCTTGAGGAGGGGGCAGTCTGCTCCCAGAATCCTGGGAAAGTAGATCAGTTGGCCCTTGGAATGCCAGGGTAGGTGTTTATGTTTGTATATACAACAAAGGAGGTCTGTTACTGGGCCAGTCTCCATGGCCTTGGATGCGCTGTGATTGACTTTTCACCATTATGATGGGAAAATTCCTGTGTTTTTTCCTTGAGCGTGTATCATATGTAAACTTTGTGTGAACTTCAAACACTGAACTTCCAATAAAAGCTTTCAAGAGGACAGTAAAAGTGCTCTTGGGTGGACAAATGCCTAGGGTCCCCTGGTTTAATCTCTCAGTTTTTCAGAATTGGTCAAGTTACACCAAGCCGTGGCTGCCCCATAAATTAAAAAAACTAAACAAGCTGGGTGTGGTTGTGCATGCCTTTAATCCCAGCACTCCGGAGGCAGAGGCAGGCAGATCTCTGTGAGGCCAGCCTGGTCTATATAGCAAGTTCCTGGTCAGACCCTGTCTCAAAAAGACCAAACAAACAAAAACTAAAAACAAACAAACCCAATTTTGCCAGGTGTGGTTGTGCACGCCTCTAATCCCAGTAGTCTGGAGGCAGAGGCAGGGGTTCCAGGTACCTGTGCTACCCTGTGCCCATTAGCATTAAAAAAA